TCTCACATGGTAGAGTCCCTGTCTAGTCTTCAGAAACATGGGTTTCAGTCCTGCTCGTCTGTTGCAACTCGTAAACTTATTTACTGTAGATACCGTTATCCTTGCAGTGGGAGCGAGTGAAGCTAAGTATTTACTTGACTACCAAGCTACCAGTAATTGTCTCAGAGTACATTGTAAAAAGATTGTTGCAGTGACCTACCTTTTGAATTTCATGACTAAAATTATTTCATACTACTCAGGGCCTGGGAAGGGGCCGCGCCATGCGCCATATGCGCATACTGCCGAAAAATGGCGCAATGTAATTATGGTACGCTGCGCCATGAGGCGCATTCCAAAAAACGATTAACTTCTCTATGTAAAGACCAGTCGTATAATTTTTCCCCAATTCAGATCCGATTTTCTCTACTAATTTCTGAAACTGCTGATTCAATCAGCCAGTGATATTTGGGTATAAATAGATCTTGACAAAATACTCTATAATTTTATTTCCAAACCCAACTGTACGGAGCATAAAAGTAGTGATGAATGTTTAAAACATCGAAGGAATCCATGCCATGTTGATATTTTTACCGCCATGATTGAATATGGGGTCGGACTAATAGCAGGAAACGTACAATGTTGCAAGGTTTTATTAAGGGAAAAAAAATAGTCTAGGTAATCTGTAAACGTGATTATTATACGTATATAATCAGAGATACAAGTCTTATTTCTGGATTACTATTTTTAAAACTTGTAATCCCAAGAAATAAATACATGTCCATTTAATGAAAGGTGGGACTAATATAAGTAAAATACCCATTGAATGGAATTAAAAAAAAAATCCCATTCTGTTTCAATACATTGATTTTGTTTAAAAGGAACAAAATAATATTTCCACCTTATTAAAAGAAAAATTAATATACATGTTTGTATATTTTATGTAATTAAATGACTATTTTGTAAAAGTCGTACAGAAGTCTGAGCTTGTTTAACTTTTCTGTTTGCCTATAATTTTAGGAAGTTTAGGACAGAATGGCCTATAGCTTTTCTGGTAAATATGCCAGATATCCTGTAGTTACTTATTTCAATCTGAAACCCTGGGCAAAGAGAATGAAGCTTTCACTTCCACGTAAAGCAATCCAATAATTTTTTTGTTTTGTTTTAATTGCATAAATTTTATTGTCTGAGATGTATGCATAATCATAGCACTCACAGAATTAGTTAATTATATGACAATTTTAAAAATGGCCCATTGTATTCTCTTTTGGCCCCATAAGTTTCAAAATGGCCCCATCATTTTATGAAGAGGGGGGCCATTGGCCCTATCAGTTACTTGTCCTTCCCAGGCACTGACTACTATAAGTGGTTAAGAATTATCAAACTTTGTCTCTTGATGTATCTTGGGTCTTCCAACTGTGACATTGTGACCTACTTTGATACAGCTATGCATATATCTAGAAAAGCCTGAAAATGAACTTCAGCAATTATTGCATCTAATGGGTCTGTCAGAGTGTGTCAACTAAAATATAGGCCTCAATGACCTACATTTGGAATATCAAGGCAAAGTTTCAAATAAACTTTGAATCCTCGAACTCTTCTAGTTGATGCATCTTGTGTTTTCAAAGTGCAGTGTATGCCAACCTAAAAGTAGGTTTAAGTAACCGATTTAAAATATCCCTTGACTATTATTAAAAATATTCTAGATAATAAAGGCTGTAAATCATAAAACTTTGTCATTTGGTGCATCTTAGGTCTTCAGAATGTTTCAATTAAAAAGTAGATCAGTGACTTATTTTTGGAATTTCATCATCTTATCACAAATTTCAAAAAATAAGAAGCTTAAAATCATCAAATCACTTTTGATACAAATTGGGTCCTTGTGGGGTTTCACCCAAAAGGTTGACATTGATGACCTACATTTAAAATTGAACGTCTCGATATTTTGGACACTAAGTGGAATGGAATCATCAAACTTTGTGAAGTTATTAGGGTTTCCACAGATTGTGATGACTGAAGGTAGATGACTCTGAGCTATCTAAATATTTCAGTTTATTTGAAGCCACCAGCACCTTTGGTTCTCAGAAAGTTACTCAAAAAGTAGGTCATGGTGACTTACTTTATTTTCAGGATTTTTTTAAATGACTCTGGATATCAAATTACAAGGATATCATTGAAAATAGGACAAAGAGATAAATGTAATAAATATAAAGAGTTTGCTTGAAATAAACATGAAATTTATTTTACTCATGAAACAGAATCTATATATATTCGGTACCATGTCATAAGTTTTTCAAGTTTTTATAACATCGTAAATTCCAAGAAATATCTGAAAATGCAACTTCATGTACATATGGCTGATGTTTTGCAATAAAAGTAGGAATAAAAATGTAAATAGAAATGGCACGACACCGAATATGTAAAAAAAATCACTTTTTATTTGAGAAAACCTAATTTTCTTGCAAAAATTAAATACTGCCTGCAGGCAAAAATGTGATTCTTGCTTAAATATAAGTACATATTTTGCTAAAGTTTCTATACAGTAATAGCCAAAATTTATAATAATTTTGTCTTGTAATATATTACCAGATGATAATCTTGCAAAAATAAGGTGTCATGAAAATTAAGTAATATACAGGACTTCTTAAAAAATAAAATCTTGTTCCATTCATTGAATAAATTCGATATCCTATGACAAAACATTGACTATTCTTCATACATGTATATTACATGTTTTGTTGTAATATCTAGAATATCCTAGATGTAGAGAGATTCCTCCAAAAGCATCCTCATCTTTATTTCTCCATCTTCGGAAAATGTCTTCTATATTAGTCCAGGGAGTGAAATGGTAAAAGTAATAAACAGACTAACATACATTTATAGACATCTAATCTGCAATTTATTTCAACAAACATATACTAATAATACAATGAATGTATACTGGAAAATTTTATGTATACATTGTATTAGTAATTTTATCTAGTAATTGCATTGTTTTTTAATAACAAAAAATGCTTAAAATTATTAACTGAAAGCAACAAACAAGTTCAGAGATTTGCATGTTAAATTCAAAAGGATGCTAGATAAAAAAAAAAAATCTTTGTTTCTGAGTACATACCAATATGTACATACATGTGAATTCCAAATAATATAATTTATGATATGGCAGACAATATTATTTTAGTAACAATTCATGAAATACTTAAATATTGTACAGTATGCTGTGAAGAGAAAACAAATGCCTCCACATGACAATAACAATTAGGTAGAATACAATGTACATGTCCAGGAAATGGGTAAACTGTGATCATTACAAGAAGGTATGGTGGCTAAAAATACATATACATGTATGTACAATATACTTACATTTATCTACATGAATATTATAACCATGAGCCATAACAAGGTGACTACAATACATCACACAATGAATGAAAGACTGCACTCCTGGAAAAAAAAAATTTCACTACACTATGTAGTACATGTACATACTTTGAAGAGATTTATCTTGACCTTTTTAAATATGATGCTTTACAATTTGAAAAGACAAATCCTTATCAATGCCTTGTACATATTTTTTTTATATCACAACAAAAAATTTTCTAATGAAGTCTGTGTGTTCTTCATGCTCTTGTACATCATTCAAAGTCCAATTATTTATGGAAAGAAAAAAAAATCTATTGGTGATAAGATTGTGTTTACTGTTATCTTAACACATAAAACATGTGTTACATTGTTAACATTGCTGATGCTGAATGTCTGGTTTTCTGTCCTGTTTTGACAAGTGTTTCCATTATGACATCACATATCCATTATGACATCACACATCCACTGAATGTGCCTGGGTCTTTCTCGGACATTGGAGTCTCTTTCTCCTTCACTGGCGGCAGTTCTGTTGGCTTATCTTTCTTGTCTTTGTCCTAAAATTAAAACAAATCAAAGCAAATAATGCCTTCTGCATAAAACAAAATATAATGGATATAGTTTTCATGTTAAAGCTGTAGAAAACTTCAAAGTTATATGTATATAAATATGTACATGACTTAGAAATAGATATTTTCATATCAAATTAATTCAAACATCCTTCATTCAATTTCAAGTAAGTTGACTCAATCCTTTCAATGATTTCAAAATATTTTTTCATTGATTTGAAACTGAGTCTTTGGCTAATTGGACCTGTTTAAATCCCAAAACATTCAATGAATCTTTCTTGTTGATGGTAAAATTATCCTAACTTTAACACTATCATACTTACATTTTCAGGCTTTGGTGCCATTTTGGAATTCATTTTTTCATACACCTCCTTGCTCCAGAGAGGATTTAGGGCGGGGGGAGTAAATGGCTCGGGGGCAGCCAGTCCATAGGTAGCCTTTAACTCCAGAACTGGAGGGTCATATGCCACTTTTTGGTGGTAGCTAAAAAATTAAATGATAACCATACAGTGTGATTCTATCACTTAAATGTACAGTTTGTGCAAGTTAAAAAAAAACAAAGGCCTAAATGAACCTTAAAGGATGTTAGTATTAAGCAGCCACCCCCCCCCCCCCCCCCCCCCAAAAAAAAAAATGTAATGTACAAGCTTTTCAATTTTCTTAGTAATAATCTTATAATGAAAAAAAATTCAGGTTTCTTAAAATTTCAATAAATAAATATATGCAAAGCATAATTTTATATTTTATAGTATACAGTATAGATAATAAAACTCTTTAAACCTATGACTGATGTAGCTGGTAATGGCATGAAAACTGATGGAATTGAGTAATTGACACATCACTCATCAAAATTTATCTTCTTTTTTCAATGTTACACACACTGATCAATAATGGAAGAAAGATATTTTTCCCTGTGAGAGGGAGCCATAAATTTTTAAGGTTACAAAAAGGTTACAACTGGGACCTAATGGCTATAATAAAATAAATATATAAAATTCAGATATCTTTCAACGAAAATATCTTATCCCTTTATATCTAAAATATGTATTTGTTATCGATAAAATTTCTCTATCTTGTTAGATTAATAAGAATAATATATTATTTTGATTGTTGTCTGGTAAAATACGGATAGATGTAGAAAAATATGTATGCTGTGCAAATTGAGCAAGTGCAAGTTTTTACATAAAGGGAAGATAACCCACCATTTCAAACTGATCTAGGTGATTTCAAAGTTAAACACTACAAAAACTTGTACAAATTGACTCACATCATTCCATTCTCCCTTTCACATTTTTCCAACGTTCTTTTCAGAACTGGTCCTAACTTTCTGAAGAAAAGATGGTTGGCTGGTCTTGCAAATGTACCCAGACCTTTAGTACTAGCATATTCTTTGCAAAGAGCCTCAGATTTCTCATAACCTGAAAAAAATTAAGATACAAGTTTATTTCTATCAATATCATTGACAGCAAATGCTGAATGATTTGCTATGACAGTCAGATTAAGGGTGATCTCTTCGACTAAAGATTCAGCTAGTCTCATCTGCTTAAATACCCAGAATACTTGCATTTCAGAGTTTATAAAACTTTATGTAGACTTCTAAGAGTAGAATTTCTTTCCCATTTATTAAGTCTGTTACCTCTGTGCAATACAGAGGAGTCAAAGATACGGTATTATTTAATCTTGGAATAATTTATCTCGGAATTTCGTAACGACTTCAGGGTCAAGTTTTATTATAACTAATTTACACAACTAAGATTAATTGTAGTTTTCTATATTTATAAGAAAAAAATTTCAAAATATTTTCATTAAATGTAAATATTTTGAAAAGTATGAAAAGTAATTGCATAAATTATGCTTAATTGCATTAAAAAATTGATATATTTTTTGCAATAAAATGAAGTATAATAAATTCTTTAAAAAAATTTATTTTACAAAGAAAGACAACTGTGTTTACTCTTTCTGACATTCAAGAAATGTGTACAGCTGTTTTTTTTTGTTACTGAACACTCTACATGTACAACTGATTTTTTTTAACTTATAGTTTTTTTTATAATATATTAATATGAACATATAGTCATAGAGTTCATATTTCATTTTCTAACACCCCCCCCCCTTTAAAAAAGATTCTTAATTAATCCTTTTACATCTGTTTACCCGATAAACTCATGAAAGCATGTTGATTTTTTTTTTGTTGCTAAGAATACTGTAAATCACTTTTTATTCACGAGAACTTTATTTTCGCGTAATTACGCGAGACAGTGTCCTCGCGAAAATAAAATTCTCGCGTATAATAGTATTCCTTAAAATTATATAGAGCAACAACCAGAATTCGTGAAAATTTTGTCTCGCTAATCAAGAGTCAATGAAAATCTCGCGAAAATAAGGTGTCGCGAAAATTTAGTGATCTAAAGTATCTGATGGTCCTATGATCTGTATTAAGAATGCATAATTGTATCTTTAAAAATTACAACTAAGGGTAAGAAATGTACTTTGTAAGGTATATGCTGTACAGAAAAGCTGTTATTCTTAGTTCACTGACCACCCATTAGACTTTACATTATATCACACATTGTATTAATCATGGCAATCCACAGACTTCTACAATTAAATATCCCTTACAGGGAGCCAAATATTTCCAAACGCAGTGAAAATTTATGGTTTCCACATAGATTCACCCCACATGAATTCTAAAGAAGCACTGAATTATATCCTGATTTAAGAATTGAAAGTTTTCTGAATCAAATAAAATGTTGTAGAATTGTTTCTTAAACGAAAATCTGATTTCAACTATTCAAACACAGTTTAATTAACATTCTAAATTGTAGAATATTGTCTAAAACAAAATTTAATCAGAAACCTTTTCTCAATATTTTTTTAAAATGAATCATAAGCTTTTAAAGGTAGACAACTCCAGTTAATCAATGGCTGATACATATATATTATTATAACAGTAACTTGATCCGAAGAGTCGTATCACGTCGAGTTGACAGTTGCGGATCATCAGATCTAACGAGACACGAAGCGTCGAGTTTGATCTGATTATCCGCGCCTGTCAACGAGAAGTGATACGGCTCTTTGGATCAAGTTACTGTTATATTGATGAATTTATTACATACCCCCTTATAAGTAGCAAAATATAGCGAAATAAAACTTAAGAGATCAATTGTATAATTTTTATCCATAAAACAAGGCATAAAAACAATGGACTTTTTGACGCGCCAGAAAAATAACGTCATGTTTCTGCGTACTACGTCATCAGTTTCAGAGAGTGGTGATATGGATTCAGAAAACAAGTGTGATGATCCGGAAAGTCGGATCACGAAGTCACGTGATAGCGTAAAATCAACAGTAAAATTCAGTGATACACATTAGGTATATAATACATTCTAAATAATGTAACATAGTTGAATTTGATTTACTAGTATTTTAAATTTCATTCAAAGGTATAGCTCAAGGTAGAAGAGCCTCAAAAATAAAAATTTATTCTGTAGCTTTTGCTCTGAACACAAATGTTGAACTGTTTTTGGGAGTACTGATAACCTGGGAATAACCCATGAAATCCCATCTTTACTTACACTTGACCCCCTCCTGCAGCCCTCGTACCCTGCCTTTACTTACACTTGACCCCCTCCTGCAGCCCTCGTACCCTGCCTTTACTTACACTTGACCCCCTCCTGCAGCCCTCGTACCCTGCCTTTACTTACACTTGACCCCCTCCTGCAGCCCTCGTACCCTACTTTTACTTACACTTGACCCCCTCCTGCAGCCCTCGTACCCTGCTTTTACTTACACTTGACCCCCTCCTGCAGCCCTCGTACAGCCTCTCCACATTTGTCCTGCGCCAACAATGTCTCCCCCTGATAGCAGTAGGCCTGAGTTACAAAGAAATACATGTCAGAAATATCATCTTATTTACTTTATCATACAATTGTATTGTTAACAAGTAGAAATACTGTCAGATGCTGTACACATGTACTCTTTACTGTTATTAGTATAATGCATACATATTGTATTGGCTTTAAGGACAAAATGTTTTTTTTGTTAAATAATTTTATGCTAAATTAATCTCTACAAAAGGTCACTATAATTTACAAAAGCTAATGAATTTTTTGAAACTTTGTTTTCAGCTTTTCAGAACACACAATTAATTCCTAGGTAAGAACAGAACTGTTGTAATTCAATTGGTTGGACCAGATAAATTCCATGGTCATTGTGGACCTCTCTCCTTACAGAGGGCATATGTAATCCTCCTGAAGGGGGATTTTTCTATCCCTCACTTAAACATGAATGATTTTACCAGACTCCTTCCACTGAAGTGACAAAGTAGAGTAGATGTCCTATTTATTAAATGGATACACTATGAACTTTTGGTTGTTTCTAGGATCCGGGTTTCTCTAATACTGTATTACAAGGACAAAAAATAAATGTTAAGGTCAGATAAAACACTCATTAAGTTATTTGGTTTGGCATGTTTTGTGGTAAAACTATCAAACCTCTCCCAGCCTTTGTCTGATGTTTAACTCACATAAGCTTTGTAAAATTCACACTTTAACTGGAAGTACTTCCTCCATTTCCCAACTACTTTGATGTCCAGACTTTGCAGAGCATCATCTAAAATAAAGTTCAAAATCTACATCAGTCTAGTATCCTTAATAAAGTGCCGCGCCACAGCATGATACGCGCGTCAAAAAAATTACAATTTTCTTAAACAGTTTAGGTGCAAGAAAATCACATCAACCTTGATTCTAAGATTTCGATGATTTTTCCATTCCTTAAAATATTTATCCATCCCCTGTGATGTAGGCATCAATTATAATAAATATTACATCACTGATAGATTTATGTGCTGGTTGTATTAGACCTTGTCAAATGCCCATCATCAAATTAGTCTTAACAACTTAATCTATACCAAATTAATTTTGAAAAGAAAAGGCTGGCCATCAAATGACATATGTTATAAACTGACCAACAGTTCCTCTGTCTACTTCCCAAAGGGTACAGCTTAATCAGAGCGACTGAGACAGCTAGCCTTCCAACATTGAACTCATTAATTAATCTTTAACTGGATGCTTGTCTACTCATTACTACCAAGAGATGAATGGGTCTGCACTATCTACTATAATTTTTTTTTAAAACATATAAAATACTCAAAGATTTTTTTTTTTGGTTGAGATTTAATTTCCAACAGGTTTTTTTAATATGTAATTCATATGGACATGTGATTCCACCCCACCCCATAAAATTAGTTTTTAAATTAATAATATTACATAATATCAGATTAGTCTATTATGCAAATCAAATTAGTTTTAATTACTTTTCATCAAATTCATTTTAAAACTTAGGCTAGTCAACAAGAGCTATTTCTAATCACACAGGATTACCCATTTGCCCAATACTCAAGGGATATAGATAACATCAATGCTCTGTCAGTAAGCTCCTCGCACTCAAAACCCATTAATTTCTCTCTAATTTGACATGCAATTTTCTGTTATCAAAATTCTTCTTGACCAGTGCTTGATAATTACTCTCATGGGAGAGGCAGGATTTCTCTGACATACATTATATTTGTTATACATTGCTGTTAAGTATATGCTTAGAAAAAATAAGTATTTTCTTGATTTAACACCTTCTTAACAAGAACAGTGCAATACTCTTACATTATTTGGGATGTGTAAATGAAAAGTAAAAAGACACATTTTTTTTTTTTAAATTCACTTAAATTAAAGGTCACAGTGACCTTGAAATAGGTCGCGACACACCTTCTACCTAAGATGCATAAACTGGCCAAGTTTGATGATTGTAGGTCTTATGGTTTTCTAGATATGGGCCGGAAAGGATTTTTCCATATTTGGCTATAACTTCTTAATTAAAGGTCAGAGCAACCTCCTTTTTGTGCACGACACACCTTCTACCCAAGATGCATCAGATGACAAAGTTTGATAATCCTAGGCCTAGTAGTATTAAAGTTATGAGCCGGAAACGAAAAAGCTAACAGACAGACGGACAGACGGACGGACACGAAGCCTATAACATAATACGTCCCGTCTTATAAAAAGTAATATATATGTACCAGGTACATGACAACAAGAGGCCCATGGGCCACATCGCTCACCCGAGCATTGTGGCTAGGAAAAAGTAGAAATTGGTTATATTTACAATACTATAGAAAAGTGTAAAACCAAAAGTTTGGCCCCGCCCTACCCCCGGGGGTCATGACTTGAACAAACTTGAATCTACAATACCTGAGGATGCATCCATATACAGTTAATTCTCGATAAACCGCCACCTTTTGTGATTTAGAAATCATGGCGGTATAACAGATTTGGCGATGAATTGAATTTTCCATCTTTTAGGAAATAAGATGTAGGGTTATCGTTCTTAGATATACCATTTAGCGTTTCTATTCTTATTATCACATGTACATGTATTTAAAAACATATTTTTAAATTTGAAAATACTTCAAGTAATTTTTTTATGTACAATTTCGCTAAAACAAAATATTCAGTTATGAAATTAAGACAAGTACATGCGTATGCATGTAAATCTGCACGTCTGATATTGAAAAAAAAATGCGGGGTCGATCGTTGTGATATATTGCCTAAATTAGTATGTAAAATAAGTTCTTAAATAAATTCATTGTTTATAAAAGCATTGTTAATGAAACGTTCACAATTTCTGACTTATACTTATTTTTAAAGCAAATTTTGCATTGTTTTTAAAAGCAGAGATCATGAAAATAATTCGTTATCGGCGAAATTTACAACGACCGCTTTCGTGGCTAAGCCTTAATTATATGATTTTATTAAACAGAAAAACAAAATTATTCTAACCGTTCATGTTAAAATTATTGTTTACTTAATTGCATGTACCTTGACTGGCTTTGCATGCTTTACAACAGGGATAGCATCAACCAATTAACCGTGCTTCACTGACCACATACACCTGTGGCGGTATTATCGAGATAATTGACATTTAAAAATGGACGTTTGTTTTGAAAACAGGGTGGCAGATGGCGGTATGCGAATTTGGCGTTATAAAGAGAATTTTATATAGCAGGAAAAACGTTCTTGGGAAATCATGGCGGTATTGCGAAAATGGCGATGAATCGAATGGCGATAATTCGAGAATTGACTGTAAATATGAGCAATTATGGCTTTGCTGTTCTTGAGAAGAAGATTTTTCAAGAGTTTTCCTATATATTTCTATATAAAACTTTGGTTGGCCATTGTGGTCCCGCCCTACCCCCGGGGGTCATGATTGGAACAAACTTGAATCTACACTACCTAGGGATGCTTCCACATAAATATTAGCAATTATGGCTTTGCTGTTCTTGAGAAAAAGTTTTTTAAAGAATTTTCCTATGTATTTCTATATACAAATTTGGTCGGCCATTGCGGCCCCGCCCTACCCCCGGGGGTCATGATTTGAACAAAATTGAATACACTACAACCTGGGGATGCTTCCATATAAATATGAGCAATTATGGCTTTGCTGTTCTTAAGAAGAAGATTTTTAAAGAATTTTCCAATATATTTCTATGTAAAACTTTGGTCGGCCATTGTGGCCCCGCCCTACCCCCGGGGGACATGATTTGAACAAACTTGAATCTACACTACCTGGGGATGCTTCCATATAAATGTGAGCAATTATGGCTTTGCTGTTCTTAAGAAGAAGACTTTTAAAGAATTTTCCTATATATTTTCATATAAAACTTTGGTCGGCCATTGTGGCCCTGCCCTATCCCCGGGGGTCATGATTGGAACAAACTTGAATCTACACTACAACCTGGGGATGCTTCCATATAAATATGAGCAATCATGGCTTTGCTGTTCTTGAGAAGAAGATTTTTAAAGAATTTTCCTATATATTTCTATATAAAACTTTGGTCGGCCATTGTGGCCCCGCCCTACCCCCGGGGGACATGATTTGAACAAACTTTAATCTACACTACCTGAGGATGTTTCCCCATAAGTTTCATCTTTCCTGGCAAGGTGGTTCTTGAGAAAAAGATTTTTAAAACATAATACCAAATTTTCACTAATTCTCAATTATCTCCCCTTGAATGAGGGAGCGGCCCTTCATTTGAACAAACTTGAATCCCCTTCACCCAAGAATGCTTTGTGGCAAGTTTGGTTGAAATTGGCCCAGCAGTTCTTGAGAAGAAGTCGAAAATGTGAAAAGTTTACAGACAGACAGACAGACGGACAGACGGACGCCGGACAAAATGTGATCAGAAAAGCTCACTTGAGCCTTCGGCTCAGGTGAGCTAAAAACATTTCTTTTCATCTCCATGAATGAAACTTGAAAAGAAAGAAAAAGCCCGATCAATGGCTAAAGAGCCATTTCTAAACAAATATTCTAAAATGAATAGCATACAGGTAACCTGAAAATCACTTCTGTTTTAATTTCTCATGAAGTTAAAAATAATCACAATGAAATACATTTGTACTAGGGCTGGGATGATATATTGAGATATCGATTCTGTGTGAGGAAAATACACATGACAATACATATGAAGAAATATCAAATAAAAAATTCTGAGTTATGTTTTTCTTTGTTTATTTAATATTTAGGGTTTAATATATAAAATAAATAAGCTAAATATATCAGTATAAATATGAAATAAATAATGATTAACACCACTTGAGTAAAAAGGTTTTGTTTTACAATTAACAACTATTTTGAATAAATTACTCTTATTTGCAAAGAAATATTTTTTTTTTTCAATGCAAAAAAGATTTTATCACCAATTAAACATATTGTGATACATATTGTATCGTGACTCAAATATTGTGATACGTAGCGATATAGAACAAGAGGCCCAGGGGCCACATCGCTCACCTGAGCAAATCGGCTAGGAAAAAACACAAATCAGATCAGAACTGAAAATTTTACTGAAGGGGGGGGGGGGGGGGGGGGGGGGGAGGGCTTGAATCTAATACTACTTTAGAATGCCTTCATATTAATACAGCATATAACTTTGCAGTTCTTGATAAAAAAGATTTTTTAAAAACATTTTCTTCCTATACTATCACTAATCATTGCTTTGAAGTACTTGAGAAGAAGATTTTCCTATAAATTCCTGTGTAAAACTTTGATCAGCCATTGTGGCCCCATCCTACCCCTGGGTTTCATGATTTGTACAAACTTGAATCTACACTACCTGAGGATGCTTCCACATGAGTTTCATCTTTCCTGGCCCAGTGGTTTTTGAGAAGAAGATTTTTAAAGATTTTCTCTATATACTCCCATGTAAAACTTTGATCAGCCATTCTGGCCCCACCCTACTCCTGGGGGTCATGATTTAAACAAACCTGAATCTACACTACCTGAGGATGCTTTCACATGAGTTTCATTTTTTTTGGGCCCAGTGGTTCTTGGGAAGAAGATTTTTTAAGATTTTCCCTATACACTCCTATATAAAAATTTGATCGGCCATTGTGGCCCCACCCTACCCCCGGGGGTCATTATTTGAAAAAACTTGAATCTACACTACCTGAGGATGCTTTCACATGAGTTTCATTTTTTTTGGCCCAGTGGTTCTTGAGAATAAGATTTTTTAAGATTTTCCCTATATACTCCTACATAAAAATTTGATCGGCCATTGTGACCCCACCCTACCCCCGGGGGTCATGATTTGAACAAATTTGAATCTACACTAACTGAGGATGCTTCCACATGAGTTTCATCTTTCCTGGCCCAGTGGTTTTTGAGAAGAAGATTTTTAAAGATTTTCTCTATATACTCCCATGTAAAACTTTGATCGGCCATTGTGGCCCCACCCTACCCCCGGGGGTCATGATTTGAAGAAACTTGAATCTACACTACCTGAGGATGCTTCCACATGAGTTTTATCTTTCCTGGCCCAGTGGTTCTTGAGAAGAAGATTTTTTAAAAATGTCATTAATTTTTCACTAATTCATAATTATCTCCCCTTGGAAAAGGGTGTGGCCCTTCATTTGAACAAACTTGAATCCCCTTCACCTAAGGATACTTTGTGGCAAGTTTGGTTGAAATTGGCCCAGTGGTTCTTGAGAAGAAGATGAAAATGTGAAAAGTTAACGACGACAACGACAACGACTACGACAACGACAACGACAGACAACGGACAAATTTTGATCAGAAAAGCTCACTTGAGCCTTCGGCTCAGGTGAGCTAAAAAGTTGTATCATCCCAGCCCTAATTTGTACACAAATTTCCATGCAAATACATGTAGTAAAGAAACAAACCTGCTTTTTGATACAGCTGGGAAGTCTCGTAAGACAGAGCAGCAATTAAACTTGGAGAATGTTTCATCTCAACAGCTCTGGCCAATGTCACTGAAATAGTAGGATGTCTGTAACTATCTCAGAAAGTAGCTCATAACCTAGAAGGTTGTTACATATCTCCGATTCAAAAGTGTTATTAAGTGAAATCTACCTAATCCAAAATCAGCATATAAACATTTTTTTCCACAATGAATTCCAGCCCTTATTAAGATTGCACTTTTATTGTTTTTTTTTCTATGTTCTTTACATTGTGAAATCTGACACCCTGTCTATTACGACACAAATTTTGTCAAGTTAAACAGGTTTCAATGTAATTTTTAAAATTTTAATCCATTATCTATATTAAAGTTTCTTATCAATTCTAAATTTTGACAATGTTTGGTTCAACATAAAAAGTCAAATTTCAAAGGGAATATTTACAAATGTTGGATTAATTTTGTATTTAAATAATATTTACCCTCCTGGGCCTCCCCAGTACAATGATAAATGTAGGCATCCAGTACACGACTGTCTGTGTCTATCGCATTCTCTGTATTGTCTGACAGGCGTCCTATCAAATCATCCTGTTAAGAAAATACAACAAATAAATATTAAAACATAGAAATGAATCAGAACACATTTATATGGGAAAGAACATAATTCACTAGAACTGTCCAATAGGGACAAATACCCCCCCTCTCCCCCTCTCGCTTGGTTTTTCGGAGAAGGTGCCAATTCACATATATTTCATGGATCTATGAAGAGGTGTTCACATTTTTCTTATAAATATTCGCGAGATCTTACTTTTGGTACTTATAAGCAGGACAAAATTTTCACAAATTCTTGTTATTGCTAAAAGAAACTATGCTAATAAAATTGTACGCAAGAACAAAATTTTCGAAATCTGTAGGTCTCACATAAGAAGGCAAAAAATTTTATGAAAAAAAATCATTTACAGTAGTGTTTTTTTTTAATTGTTCAAGAACAAAAAATGTAAGAATCACTGCACAGGAGTGATGAAACATACTGTGTGGGTGGGAGAAATTCAGTTCCATAAACACATTAAACACAGAATGTGTTAAATCATTTTGATACATGTATTACCTTTACATAGGTAAATATTCCTGCAGCAATCTTCAGACATTTGTGTACCTCCTTTGCTTCTTCCATATCTGGCCTTACATTTGAATAACAAGTTTGTGTGAATGTGTATAATTTGTATATGTATAAAATTCAGAAATGGTAGTTTTCATCATAAAATATGTTAATGATACTTACTCTTCTTTGGCAGCTAACTTAGCAGCATGTTTAGTGTACCATAATGCCACGTTTATCGCCATACTTGCAGCTTCAAAAACAGAATCTTGCTGCTCCCTATAAATAAAAAAGCAATAGTAACCTTAATATCAACCACAGAATATTTTCTCTTCTTTGTCAATTTAATAATGTATAGATGACAAGTATGTTGTAAGGCTGGTGTAAATTTTGATTGAAATATCCCTGTTTCTAAAGGTAAGGAGTGGATATGTTGCAATTACATGTTCAACATGAGTATACCAAAATAACTAATACTTGACAGCATTTCCTAGTAGGCTGTTTGTCCATCTATATTTTATGGCTCTCCTCAGTTTATTTTCAGATTCATTTTCCTCAAATGGCTGTATCAAGCCCAGAAGCAGAGAGAAGTAATCATTGACAGCCTTCTCCACAGTCACAGTTTCGTGGTTTGGATCTGTTAACAGTTCAAGCAGTTTGCCCCTTGTCTGACGCATTTGACTGTTATAATGAATAATGATAATTATTATCATGAATTCTTTGAACTATATGTTAATAACATATACTGTAGAAGTACTTTTTTCCACATTATATTAATTTGCGCTATGTACGCGGTCAAACATTTTCCCATCATATATACATAATATAAATGTAAGCCATATAGTGAGAGTCATAAAACCAGCGTTATTTTCCACCCACGGTTGAAACAGAAATAGAGATTCCGCAGAATTTTTACCCTGTGGAAAATAGTACATCTACAGTATTCAATTCACGGGTGCTTGAGTATTGGTTTATACATAAGTAAACCTTTTGATATAGCTGTACATATTTATAAATAATTTAATTCTGATTGTAACGCTGTATTTGATTGGATAAAAAATTTACTTCATATCGTATAAAATGGGTTGCCTACGTCACAATGACTTAACGTAAAAAACGTATCAATCCGCCTGATGTTACATTCAAATTTGGTACAAGTTGAAGTCATTTTATTAGAATAATCACCTTTTTTTCTTGCATCAAATGAATGAAAATTAAATTATAAGCAATGAATTTAATAGCTACCCATTTTATACGGTATAAACTGGGTTGGAACAGTTTACGCTTTTTTATAAATCGCTTCGCAGTTTATAAAGCGTAAACTGCCCCAACCCAGTTTATACCATATAAAATGGGTAGCTATTAAATTCATTCCTTAAATCAAGACACAGGCACCAGTGGTTTAACAGATCTACTTAAACTCTGCAAAACAAGTTTGTTAATCAGGTAAAATCAGACAAATATCACCAGATGTTAATTAAAGTTTAATTTGTTTACTAAATATAAAAGGTGCTTTCTATTAAACAATTAGAACTACTCTTTATGAATGACTCATAGTCATTATCATCTGATCATAGTAAATATTCCACTGTCTTACGCGAATATTTGTCTCGTTTTGTCGTCCGTTGACACGCCTGCTAACTCAAAAGTTAGAGTAGATGTAGCCTTTAGCGGGTTTCTGTGGAACCAGTAAGACATGACTTATTTTTAAATCGCTTCACAAATTCGTTTATTTCTGGAATCTTTTCCTCTATCACTGTTTTATTTTATTGCGAAAGCGCCATCTTTGTTTTCCTCTTTCACAAGTTGTATTCCGATCCCGATAAGAAATGATGTACAGATTGAGTGAGTGACCAGCGACCTTTTTTCCCTCAAGCTTGAATTGTTTTGGATGTAAGTCTTTCCAGAAGTTTTGTGATGAGAATTCCATTCAATTAGACCTTTTTTTTTAAATTCCTGAATAAACTTTAAATCATTTCTTTTGATAAAACATTTTTAATCTTTATATCATGTCAACACGATTGCACGTCTACACTTGCTTAAACTTAAACAGGTCCAGTCCAAAGTCTATTTCTACCTTCGTAGCTATTAATAGCTACCTAGGTATTTAAAGCTACCCAAAGTAGCTAATTTTACCTACTTTTTGCTTTATTTGCATTTTGTGGCCAAATGCAGGAATGGCGCAACTTGGTGAGCACAAATTTTCTTGATACAGCCCATACCAAACCATTCTCACAATTTGCTCATGAGCAGCTCACGTGAGGACTAACCAGATTTCCTCACCTGAGTTTCTCACGTGAGTTTCATGTGCAATTTAACATGCAAATTAGGTGAAATGCTCACATTCTGCAGGGTTCTGCACATTAGCATTTTTTGCTCACGTGAGGAATCATTTTGCTCACCTAGAATATTTGCTCACATGAGGCTCATGAGTCTCATGAGACTCATGTGCAACAATTGCTCACTTGAACAAGCAACAATAGAACAAAATTCAGATTACAAACATTATATAATTATGTAATTTTAAAATGTGATTCATCAATTACATTTTAAATACTCTTGAGCAACATGTACATGTAAATAGATGCATGCATAATTATGTTCAGTGAACTTCATTTTTTAAACTTAAAATGAAATGAAAACTTTAATTAAATTATTATAATTATGTACAGTACACATCAATTAAAGTATTATTATCCAATAGTTCCATTTCCAGTAAATTAATATAGAACATCCAGTGTAAATGTCCAGTCAACATTTTTGACTGCACTAGTACTAGATGGATTAAAGTTGTCTTAAAGTTGTCTTGGAGGCTAAGTAGATGGAATTTATGAGTGGCATGCAGTCATACTTGGGTGTAAAATAATAATTAATCCAGTGGTCGTAAGAATCATAATCAATTCATCCTGTTCCATTCTTTTTCCTTGCATTTCCTTTAAATGAGTGCCAACATCAGAACTCCGTCATGTATGCAAGCTCAGCTAGGGTCCGTGATTAATCTGCAGATCCTTTGATTCCAACTTTTATCTGCATAAAATTTGAAGTTATAATTAGTATATTTTCAAGGTTTCGTTGGTCATGAAAAGCCAGTATATAGAAAAATCATATGCATCAATATTTAATTAGCAACTTAAATACATGTAATTCATAGAATACCGCACTGAGGCTGTCAATTGTACACTCTGACCTAATCTTTTCTTACCATATTTATAGTTCTTAGTTAAACTGTATAATTCCTGATAACATTCTGCGCATTAAATATATCAAAATTAAATGCACTGATAATTAACACACAAACATATTATTTTTTTTAATTAGTAATATCTGAAATGAGAGGGGGGATAATAAATTTCAGAGCACTTACCCTATTCTCAGATCAGCAAATTAATCTTTGAAATTTTCCTTCATTGTGGCTGCACCATGGTATATCTAATTGATCTTTAATCATCCCATGGACATACTGGATACATTTGTAACTTTTAAAGGCTGGCATCTAGTTCAGTATGGTGATGACATGTATTTCCAAAAGCATATTTCAGTTCTTCACTGTATTAATCCATATACTTCAGGCACGTAGCATCCGGGGGGGCCAGGGGGGGCCTGGCCTCCCCACTTTTTTCCCTAACATTACCTTTACTATAGAAAATGTCTATTGAAAAGATGGTTGGCCCCCCACTTTTTACCACAGTATATACAAAGCAAGAAATATAGGAAAAAAATGGAAGTGAAAGGAAGTTCGACTTGAAAAAAAAGTTGGCCACTACCCCCCCCCCCCCCCCCACATTTTGCACATGTGCATTTTGGTTAGTATTTTCCTCCCTAACAAAGACTAACAATCTGCACATGAGCAAAATCCAATTCTACCTAATTTGAATACAATTTTTACTTGATTCTCATGTGAGTCTCATGAGCTGCTTATGAGCATTTGTTAGAATGTTTGGTACGGGAGTCACTCTGATGATAAATATGACAAAAATTTGGCTAAAAATGATTACTTCGTATATTATCAATTTTGCGTAGAAACTAATGAAAAATTGCAAATTTAGAAAGTAATCATTTTTTGTCATATTCATCATTAGTTTGTCCGTATCAAAAAATATGGTTTTTACCATGTTGCGCCGTTTAGTCGTTAGGCCGCAAAATGCAGAAAATATATAAAGTAGGTAAAAATAGCTACTTTGGGTAGCTTTGAATACCTAGGTAGCTATTAATAGCTACGTAGGTAGAAATAGTCTTTGGACTGGACCTGTTAGAGTTACACTCAATGACTCATGCATGATTTGAGCTAATTTGAAATATTTTCGATTCAGTTACAACTCTAGTGTCCTGTGGATAATTGGATTCCGGAAATCCGAAAATTATTAACCACTTATACTCATCAAATCGACTGAATTTTTCAGTCACAACTCTAATGACACGACTGGATTCTAGAAATTATATACCAATGTAACAGGCTTGCATGGGGCTTGTCGAAGAACAAATAACTGCCTGTTGAGGGTTCTGACAAGACTTTTTTTACTAGATGTAATGGAATAATGGAAATAACCCTGCAATATTAACAATATAACAAGTGTAAATATTTAAGCATAAAAATACAATGATTGACATGGGAGATAATTCATTACACATATAGAATATACATATATTTCTCCGCAATTATAGCACAATCAATACTCATCATAAAACTTTACAATAATTATCATCATAATGTATTTCAACACTATATATTACTGAATAAGCATAAAACTATGTGCATACCATTCTATGGGAATAGGTGTGTTACACTGTATAACAGCAAGCAGCAATGCTGCAGATGTACCGGTATAACTCATACAATCTGAGTGGTCTGTAAATTAATTACACACAATATTACACACCAAATCATAAAAATATATAACCTTAAAAATATATAACAATGAGATCTTTCTATAACTCATACTTTAAAAATATCCTTCTCACTGATCTCATTTACTCAGGGAAAGTGCTTAGGAAATAGATCAAGAATGCAAAATTACTGATTGGACATTTAATTGAAATATAAGAATCATATTAATATTAGTAATAAATTGTTAACTTACCAGAAGGAGAAGAAAGTCAGTCTCTATGAAAAGGTCTGATTGTCAAAATGTCAGATCAACAGAAACACATCATAACTGACCAAACTCTGGACAAAGAATGTCCAGAAAACCAAGAACCTTCTGGAGGGAAAAACATGAACCAATCCCCAAGTAAAACACAAAGTAAAACACCAATGAAATTAAAAGAAACATCCAACATTAGGCCTGGATATAATTAATGATCTAAGGCCATTTCTACCTATATACATCTATTGACAGACCATGGGTGAATGCACACTAAATGCTTTAAACTGAATAATTATATTTTTCAACATGTGGCACATTTTAAATCAAATTAAATGTCATAAATCATAATTACCATACATGTGTATAATAAATACATGTATGCATAGAAGATTAATAAAATATGTATCTGCCACACCAACAAGTAAAAGAAATGCAACATCCTACCGTAGAGGAAAAAAATTACATATAAGGTATTTTTTTAATTTCAAAAAAGGACATCTTCAACTTTGCTTTGTCGGAAATTTACTAACCGTTAAATGACTTTCATCCAAAGTTTGAGCCTGGCTTAATGAAAATCAAACATTGCATGTTTAAAAAAATATTTGGTTATATTTTGAGTTTTCAAGAGTTTTTATCTGTTCATCAGAAGTTAATTGCAGCAACATTCTGGAAAAAAAGGTTATTTGTTTCCCAAAGTGATGCCAAGGCTTCTTCATGCCATGATGTGGAAACGACAGGTTGCTGTTATTTTCCCATGATTACTTTTTTTAAATTGTGCCCGGCTGTCCATCTGTCAGTCTGTCCGTCCATCACAAAAACTTTAACCTTGATCAAATATTTTTTAAATGAGAAGAGTGAAGGCTTTCATTTCATACACATAAATTACCCATGTGACAAGACCTTTCTAAATACACTATGATTTTTTACCTCATGACCTTGACCTTGAACTTTGACCTATTTTTCAAAACCTTTAACCTTCGTCATAAATTTTGAATGAGAAGAGATACGGCTTTCATATTAAAACTGTGTATTGCTAGTGACAAGATCTTTACATTGTATTAAAACACTGATTTTTTTTTACCCCATGACCTTGACCTTGAAGTTTAAATACTTTAAAAAATAAATATTACTTAAAATCAGGGACCTTTATACTAACGGGATAGGCAACTACAGCAAGTCTCGTGATATCTCGTAAGTCGCGGGATTTCGTAAGTCAACTTTAATTAATTATATCTCTAAAGCTATTGCATATCTGAGATCAAATCCTTTAATTATCTGTCAAAAAATCATTCAAGATTTGTTTTTAGCACGTATTATACTCGTTATCTTAGTAGAAATTGTGTTTTATGCAAAATCAGCACATGGCCCCATCAGCCATATTTCCGAGAAATCGCCAATTTCGGTGTTGTTTTTTTTATATTTAAATTATATTATAATTATGCTTTAAAATTCATTAATAAATCGATTCCAATGCATAAAAGGAATAAATGATAATAATCAGAAAACACCCTGTTTACTGGGAATAAACGTAAATTGAAAAATTTGTAGTGTCGTGCGTGATGTTTTGGGTAAATAAACATGGCGATGAAGGAGTTGCCTATCCCTTTAGTATATAGGTCCCTGTTAAAATTGACCAAAACTTTTGAATGAGAAGAGATAAGGCTTTCATATTACATATTACACATGTGCATTATCTGTGACAAGACCTTTATATACAATCTGATTTTTACATTGTGACCTTTACCTTGAAGTTAGTCCTTCTTTTCAAAAACTTTAACCTTGGTCATAACTTTTAAATGAGAAGAGATGTGGGTTTCATATTAAATCTGCTTATTGCCTGTGAGAAGACCTTTCTGAATATACTTTGATTTTTTACTCCCATTACCCTGACCTTGATGTTTGACCTACTTTTCAAAAATTTGAATTTTTTCTTATAACTTTTGATTGAGAAGACACAGGACTTTCATATTCGACAAATGCATTACCTGTGTCAAGATATTTCTGAGCATATTATGATATCTACCCCTTGACCTTCATGATTGACCTAATTTTTAAAATAATCAACTTTGGCTATAACTTCTGAATGACAAGGTCACTGGAAGAAAAATTTCATAATTCATGTCCGGTCCATAACTTTCTTATGGATAAACTTGGTAAGTTCCTATTTTACACAAAGAAATCTCATGACCTACATGTAAGGATGTTTCATGACCTTGACCCAAGGTCATCTGTGCAAGTTCAAGGTCACTTAAAGAAAAATTTCATAATTCATGTTTGGTACATATCTTTATTATGGAAAAACTTGAATCTACTACTTTACACAAAGATGGCTTATGACCTGAGGGTGTGTTATGACCTTGAGGCAAGGTCATTTAAGTTCAAAGTCACTGAAAGAAAAATTTCATAATGTCTGGTCCATAATTTTTCTTATGGATAAACTTGGTAAGTTCCTGTTTTATACAAAGATTGCTTATGTCTTGAAGGTGTGTCATGACCTTGACCCAAGGTCATTTGTGCAAGTTTAAGGTCACTTAAAGAAAAAAGTTCATAATTTGTGCCTGGTCTACACCTTTCTTATGGATAAACTTGGAGGGTACCTCATATACACAAAGATTGCTTATGACCTGAGGGTGTGTCATGAGTTTTACCCAAGGTCACTTAAAGAAAAAAATTCATAATTCATGTCTGGTCATGTCATAATTCATGTTTGTCTTATGGATAAATGTGATGTGTTACCATTTTGCACAAAGATTGCTTATGACCTGAGGTTGTGTCATGACTTTGAACCAAGGTCATTAATGCAAGTTCAAAGGCAGAAAAAGTTCACAATTCATGTCTGGTCTGTATCTTTTGTCTTAATTTTTTTTTATTAGGCTGCACCTTCGTTTCTTTCAAAACAAATTTAATGCGCAATTACATTTGCACTATAAATGTTTTGGCATTTCTCTCTTATCTTAGTTCCATAAAATATTCATGATTTGGCACCTCTGAAAAACCCAGCAGAGGGTATTTTGCCCCTTTTGAACAGTTCTAGTTTGCTTCTCTCATTGAGAAGCACCAATCAAATTGAAGCTCTCTCGAGTAGATAGATGATGTAAACAGAAAGGAATCACATTATAGGCATTGTAATATCAAAATAATCATAGCATAGTGCCTTCTTGGGTGCTTCCTATACAGTAGATTCTGACTGATCTGATTTATATTTTCTTTTAGTGAGACCATGAAGAATGAAGGGAGCTTGGAAAAGGAAAACTCTCAAAATTCTAGCACTTTTGACTTGTGTGTACATTCTTTTTATGTTTTTGATGCAAATGCAGCTGCATTTACAGCAAGGGAATGTTGATTTTCTCACTGAAGACCAGGATCATGTGGTACATGTATATATATTTACTTATTATAACATTCACTTGATACGAAAGGTTGTATCACGTCGAGTTGACAGGCTGGATCATCAGAACAAATGAGACACGAAATGCTGGGTCTATCCGGGTTTTTCAAGTTTATAATTAGAAAGTCCAGATCTTTCCACATTTATACACTTTGACTCGTGATGCCATATGAACCAATGACAAATCTCATTACAATGCATGAATTCAAATAATATTAAGTACAGTGTATAATCATCATTGTTTAAGCCGCATTGTTTAGGATTTTAAAATTTTCCATTGCAGAATAATTTTATTTCACCCAAGCCTGACACTTGTTACCAAGGACCCACAGTGTCATTTGATTCCAGAAAAACAGCTGACTTCCCTCTACAAGCCTCAAACTCAGGGACTACAGAAATATGCAGTATACCACAAAACACTGCTGATGTAAAGGTGGGAATGTTTTATTATTACAGGAAATGTATCTAGTAAGTTGAATATTGTACTTTGAAGGTGTCTAAATCATTATGCTGATCTTAAAAAACAGTAATAACTGTTTTATTATATGATTATCTATTTTTGGTCCAATGTAGAATAAATAATTCATTATATTGACCTGGAAAGTCACATGCAGGTCAATATGATATATTTTTCTAACATTGTCAAATCTCAGCCAATCAGAAAGATAGGAATTACTCAATCATATACTGGTAATAATTGAATATATTTGAATGCTCCTAATGAATATTTTTGTGTGAATTATTGACACTTTTTATTTTGGAATCTCAAAACACATATATCATTTCTTACCAAGCTTAATAATTGTGAAATTGGAGCTTTTATTACAATGGCCAAAAATGCTTGGATTCTGTATTATGATGTAAAAATTCTGTTTTAAAAAATTGACTTTATGTTTATACATCGCTGAACAGAACATGATGTGCAACAGTATAATATGGAAAAATGAATAAAAGATTTCTTAATTACACAACAGATGGAGGCATTATGGCACACATTGGATGTATCTTACCCCTTGGCTTTGTCTGTCAGTGGTTGGCTTGATGTTATTCGTGTACATATGTGGACGACCAAACCTTTGAAAGTCATCATTGTGCCCCACTCCCACCAGGATCCAGGTAAATCCATTTAAAATTATCACTGCCCCACCATATCCAGTTAAAACCTCTTAGAGTCCTCAATGTGCCCCACACCCACCAGGATCCAGTTAAAATGTCTAAGAGTTCTTGTGTCCCACTCCTACCGGATCCAGTTAAAACCTCTTAGAGTCCTCATTGTGCCCCACTCCTACCCGGATCCAGTTAAAACCTCTTAGAGTCCTCATTGTGCCCCACTCCTACCCGGATCCAGTTAAAACCTCTTAGAGTCCTCATTGTGCCCCATTCTTACCCGGATCCAGTTAAAACCTCTTAGAGTCCTCATTGTGCCCCATTCTTACCCGGATCCAGTTAAAACCTCTTAGAGTCCTCATTGTGTCCCACTCCCACCAGGATCCAGGTAAATCCATTTAAAATAATCACTGCCCCACCATATCCAGTTAAAACCTCTTAGAGTCCTCATTGTGCCCCATTCCTAACGGATCCAGTTAAAACCTCCTAGAGTCCTCACTGTGTCCCACTCCTACTGGATCCACTGACAGGTAAAACCTCAAAGAGTTCTAATTGCTCCACACTCTCCAGGATTCAGGTAAATCCTCTGAAAGGTAAAACCTCTTAGAGAAGCATTAAAAGAGGATTTCATCATGCTAGACCATGTTACCAGTATGAATGCGCAGCTCCTGAGAGCCTTAAAAGCAGAGAACAGACAACATCTTGTTGACAGTGCCTGGTATTTTAATGGCCACATATTTGCGCTGGATATGAAAGGAGATCGACACAGAATTGATGTTACGGACAATATTGACAAAATATTTAGAGCTTAACTTTTTTTCGCTAAAAATTGAAATGTTTGATTGTCTACAATAAGTAAAACTAGCAGGAGGAGCCGATACAGGTGGGACATTGACTTCAAGGCGAGGTATGCCTATTGAATGGTTGACTTTTGTGAATGTAAGTATGTGTAGAATGTGTGTGTATGTATTGTTTTTGAGCTTTAGTGCACCTTTTCTTATGTTCTGTTTAATAAGAATGAAAAATTTTCATGACATTTGATGTGACAACTAAAATGACCAACAAAGTAGAAATGTTAGGTATATTGAGTATGAATGTAAGAGGTTTCTCTTCTAACAGCCAAAAACGTAGAGATGTGTTTAATTGGGTTAGAAGTAAAAATATATCTACTGTTTGTTTACAAGAAACACATAGTACTCATGAGACTTCAAGGTTATGGGAATCAGAGTGGGGTTACAAATCCTATTTCAGTAGTTATACAAGCAGCTCAGCTGGAGTTGCAATACTTTTCAAAAATAACTTTGAATTAGATATCCATTCAGTTAAATGCGACTCTTCTGGTAGATATATCATAATGGATATATCAGCAAATAATTTGAGATTTACTTTGGTAAATTTGTATGGTCCAAATAATGATAATCCAGAATTTTTTCAAAATATTTATGAAGAAATTACAAAATTAGAAAACATGTCAATCCTCATGTGTGGGGATTGGAATGTGGTCCAAAATAAAGAACTTGACACTTTCAATGTTAAAACTCTTAATAATCCAAAGGCAAATGAAGTAATAAAGAATATAAAAAGTGAACTTGAAATTTATGATCCATGGAGAATCTGGAATGAAGAAGTTAGGCAGTATACATGGAGAAGATCAAATCCAGTTATTCAAAGTAGAATTGATTATTTTCTTGTTTCTGATTGTATTTTTAGTAGAGTATTAGATACCAAAATAATCCCAGGGTATAGAACAGATCATTCAGCAATTGTACTAAAATTCAAAACAAATGACAGTAATAGAGGAAGAGGTTACTGGAAATTTAATTGTCAATTATTACATGAAAAGGAGTTTATAGAAAAAGTAAAGCAATGTATTTCAGAAACAATTAAAGAATATATTATATCAGGAGATATTGAGCAAAGGGAGAGTATTCAATTTAGTATAACTAATCAATTTTTCTGGGAAGTCTTGAAAATGAAAATCAGATCCTTAACAATAGAATATTCTTCCATAAGGTCCAAAAAACAAAAACTATACAGGAAAAAATTAGAAAAAGAAATCTTAGATTTGGAAGAAAAAGTCAATATTTCAGGAAAAGAAGAAGATATTTTGACACTTGAAGAAAAAAAACAAACTTTACAAAATTCTAGGTCGAACTATATAGAGGGTTTAATGTTACGCTCAAAAGCTACTTGGTATGAAATGGGTGAAAAAAATTCTGAATACTTTTGTAAATTAGAAAGAAGAAATTATGTAAATAAAACAATATCTGAATTAATAGACTCAGATGGTAATCATATTGCAGACCAGTCTGCCATTCTGGATGAACAAAGGTCTTTTTTCTCAAACTTGTACAAAAGTAAAAAGGATAATAATAATAATGAAACATTTTTGTGTGAAAATATCTTTTTACAACATAATGTCAAATTATCTGATGAACAAAGTGACAACTGTGAAGGTTTTTTGAAACTACAAGAATGCACAACATCATTAAAAAATATGAAAAACAAAAAATCCCCAGGGTCAGATGGGTTTACAGTGGAATTTTACAAATTTTTCTGGAAAGATATAGGTATTTTTGTTATGAAATCTTTAAATGAAGGGTATATAACTGGAAAACTTTCACAATTTCAATCTCAGGGGGTAATTACATGCATTCCAAAAGAGGAAAAGGATAGAAGATATATGAAAAATTGGAGACCTATTTCATTGTTAAATGTAGATTACAAAATTGGTTCTAGTACCATAGCAAATCGCATTAAGAATGTGTTGTCCAGTATTATAAGTGATACCCAAAAAGGTTTTATAAAAGGGCGTTTCATAGGTGAAAACACCAGGTTTTTATATGACTTAATAGATTACCTTAAAGATAAAAAACAATTTGGTTTGCTCCTTTTATTAGATTTTGAAAAAGCTTTTGATTCTTTAGAATGGGATTTTATTGTTAAAGCATTAAAGTCTTTTAATTTTGGAGATTCATTAGTTAAATGGTTTAAAACCTTTTACTCAACCAGCACAAGCTGCGTGATAAATAATGGAAACTTATCCTCCTTTTTTAATCTTGAACGTGGATGTAGACAGGGAGACCCTTTGGCACCATACATTTTTATCATTACTGTAGAACTACTTGCAATCTCACTGAAGAATAATGAAAACATAAAAGGTATATCGATTAATGGGAAAGAAAATAAACTAGGACAATATGCAGATGACTCTTTTTTAACATTAGATGGAAGTGAAAAGTCTTTGAGGGAATCAATGAAAATAATTGAAAAATTTGGAAAAGCTTCTGGTTTAAAGCTTAATATTTCAAAATCTCAAGCAGTATGGTTGGGAAGCAAGGCAGGATCAAAACAAACTCTATGTGATGACTTAAAAATTAATTGGAGTGCTGATACCTTTAAGCTCTTAGGAATAATTTTCACAAAAAACTTAGAAAATATTGTGTCTGTCAATTATCGACCCAAAATAAACTCTATCAAAAAATTGCTTGCATCATGGGCGAAAAGAGATTTGACCCCAATAGGAAAGATTACAGTCATTAAAACCCTAGTTATTCCAAAATTTTTACACCTATTCTCAGCTCTTCCAAATCCATCAAAGGAATTACTTAATGAGATCAATAAAATTTTATTTCAATTTATTTGGGCGTACAAGGTGGAAAAAGTAAAAAGAAATACATTGATAGGAAAAATTGAAGAAGGTGGACTAAACATGATCCATTTATCCTCCTTCATTTCATATATAAAACTTAAATGGGTCAAGAGAGTCCTTACAGACAACAGTGGAGCATGGCAGCAATTATTATCCTGTACTTTTAATCAAAAAGATTTTAACTTTGTTTTTTATTTAACCAAAGAAAAACTCTCAGAATTTTTGAATCATATAGGTAATGATTTTTGGAAAGATGTTATAAAAGCTCTTATAATTGTTAAAAAAGATTGTTTGAGTGCTACAGATTATTTATATACTGATATTAGAAATTTTGTTGATATCAAAAAATGGAGTTTTTACAAGACTTGGGTAGAAAAAGGTTTTAAAGTATTGAAAGACTTGTTGTCAGATGATGGAAAATTTAGGTGTTTTAATGATGTTAAAAAAATAGTTGGTACAAATAATTTTTTAAGCTATTTTAACATTGTATCAAGAGTACCAGCAAGAGTCAAAAGGGAAGTAACTGTTTATATGACAGAAAGAGGCAATCAATTTGCAGCACCAGAGAAATGTGTTATACAAAAAATGATGTCTGTGACAAGTATAAAATTTCTGTATAAAATTATAAAAGATAAGAATTTTGTGGCACCAGAATCCAAAAAGTTAAAATGGGAGATTTATTTAAATGAACCTATAACAGAAAAACATTGGGAATTTTTCCTTCAGAATGCTTCAATTTGTACAAAGGACACCAAAATAATTTACTTTCAATATAGAATTCTTATGGGCTTCCTTGCCACAAATTCTTTTCTTCACAAGATAAAAATTGCTGAAAACAATTTTTGTTCTTTCTGTAAAACAGATCCAGAAACATTGATTCATCTTTTTTATGATTGTAGACATGTAACTATTTTTTGGAAAGATTTTGAAAATTGGTATCAAGCATTTGAAAATGATTATGTAATTTCAAAACAAAAGGTGATGCTGGGTAATGTTGAAGGAAGTTTTTTAGAAAATTTTCTCATCTTGTTAGGAAAAAAGTCTTTGTATTACTAAAGAACTCAATGTACTATACCAAAATTTACAGAAGCTGTTAACATTTTTAAGTATTACAGGAAAATTGAAAAATATTGCGAGAACAATTTTCATTGTAGAACTAAAATGTATAGTAAATGGACAATGTTTGATTTGATTTGTCATACATAATTTCAATTATCACTTAAGGTGTAATTATGAAAGCTTGTATTTTGGGAAAGGTGCACAGAGTGCGTGTGGTGTGTGAGGGTGTATTTGTGTGTGTATTTTGTTTCTTTTGTAAGTATGAAAATATTCAAAAATAAAGCATTATAAAAAAAAAAAAAAAAAAAAAAAAAAAAAACCTCTTAGAGTCAACATTGTAGTCTCCCATTATAGATCCAGGCAAATCTTCTAGAAGTCCTCATTGTGTCCCATTCCCACCAGGATCTAGGTAAATCACAAAATCTGGATGCATTTACTTCCCATAGAATGCTCAGTGTATCAAAAGATGTACATGTGAAGAATTTCATTATTTTGTAAAATTAAGAAAAAATACATACAGTGTATTTTATGCACTCAAATTGGAAGATTCGGGAGCATATGATTTTTGGCTTATCTGTCTGCAGAAACTTTAAACCTGGCCATAACCTTTAAGTGGTTGTTGCTATGGCTTTCATACTTCATGTGTTTAACTTGTGACAAGACCTTCATTAAGATCTCAACATTAAGATGATCTTTAAGTTCGACCTACTTTTGGACATGTATATCACGTTTATTCCTTTGATCTTTTGACCTTGGAGTTTGAACTACTTTTGAAAAACTTCAGCCTATCCCACATTGTTTGGATTGAGATGCTTTAACATTTATATTCACAAGTTTAAAAAATCAGTTTTGATTAGTTTTTCTTTCATACTATTTACATAAAATATATATTCAAAGTTGTATGCAATTGGCAGTTTTCTGCTTGGTTAATATTTTAGGCTGGCTGTACACCTTTGAGGAGTATTTTGCCTCCTATGCCAACAGGACCCTTAGCTTAATAACAGATCAGCTCACAAGAAACAGTGCGTGGAGATTTGTTTGGTCAGAAGTGTGCTGGTTGGAAAGATGGTGGGAAAATGCCTCTCAAAAACAGAAAAATGACATGAAAAGGTTTATTATTTATAGGATTATACATGTATTTCAGTTCTATAGACAGTTTTATTTTTTATAAGTAGCATTTGAAAAAATTGAGCCATTAGATGTTGACAAATAAGATATGTAACAATGATGGTTTCCTTTTGTCCTACAGGCTGATTACGAATGGTCAGTTTGAGATCCTCTCTGGTGGTTGGGTCATGCCAGATGAGGCGGTGGTCCATTACAGCGCCATGTTAAATCAGCTGATTGATGGCCATCAGTGGCTGCTAACTAACATTGGTAAGACCTCCAACTGTACTGTCATGGCCAACAGAACTAGTGTAGAAATCATAGACAAGGATAATTAATGGTGATATGAATTGTGAATAGGAAAAGAAGTTAACATAATAAAATAATTGTTCAAAGAAGTTATATCTGATTTTCAGTGTAATATATAAATTCATCATAGAACATGGTAATGGATATCCTATTTCAGACTTTTTGAAAATGGTCTAAAATATTTGACACATGCAGTAGTACACTGAGGATGTACATTGTAAATTAATTAAAGGAGATTTGAATTCCATTGTAAAATGTATGGCAATAGATATAAATGTACTGAAGTTTGACTGGGCATCTGTAAGACTCGCATGTAGCCTTCAAGGATCAGTGCTGAACTTAAAAATTGTTTTTTTTTTTTTCTTTTTTTTACAAGATTGCATATTTATTATCTTTGTTAGGAACTGTACCAAATATCAGCTGGTCTATTGACCCTTTTGGACATTCTCCAACCATGGCTTATTTACAGAGAAGAAGTGGAATCAAGGCAATGGTGATCCAAAGAATTCATTTTGGAATCAAGAGATTTTTGGCCAAAAATCAGATGTTAGAGTTCCAGTGGACACAGATGTGGGGTAAAGTTTTTTTTTCTTCATATAAATCAGGATTCCTTCATAGTTTTCTGGCCTTATGTGAAAACTTACTATTTAATATAGATATGTTCTATAAATTTGAAACATTAGAAGCATTTCATTTTCATGTAGTTTGTACAGTTTAGATTAGATACCGGTATGTTCCATAAATTTGAAACTTGAGTAGCATTTTATTTTCATGTAGTTTGTACTGTTTAAGATAAATATGTACTATAAATTTTTAAACTTTGGTAGTATTTCATTTTTGTGTAGTTTGTTAGAAAGTTGTGATGGTAACTTATTTAATCAGCTACAACATTATTTTGTATAGGTAGGGACTCTTCTACAGGCATAATGACCCATGTGTTGCCCTTCCTCTCCTATGCCATTTCTTATTCCTGTGGTCCAGATTCACATGTTTGCTGCAAGTTTGACTTTAGTCACAAAAAGTGCTATCAAGGCGGAAAGCGAAAACCAAGTCTTGAAATTGATGATAGTAATGTTAAAGAATTGTGAGTTAATTTCATTTTTTGTTTAAGTTTTTTTTGTTTCATTTGATTTGCACTTTATGGTTTAATATATTATTATAAAGAAAAAAAGATGTGCTTGTGAAACACTATTGGCTATTTTTAGCATATAGGTCATAGTCCCATTTGAAAGAAATGAACTAGTGGAGAATGCATACCATATAAGAAGTCTCTTTCTCCTATGGTTCAAAAGTTAAGGCAAGGGTTGGAAAATGCTATTTTTAGCATATAAGTCATGGTCAAGGTCACAAGGTCATTGACTTTGGTGTCATTTGAAAGATCCTAATTAGTGGAGTATGCATACTAAATAAGAAGTTTCTATCTCTCGTGATTCAAAAGTTATGGCAAAGGTTAAGGTTGATAACAGACAGAAAGACACACAGATAAACAGACAAACATACAAATAGACAGACAGAACAAAAACAATATGTGCCCCTGATCTATCGATCCGGGCACATAAAAATGGTTAAGAAATTGACAGAGAAGAAAAATACACATGAACTGACCTACTTATAAAGTTAAAATAAACCAATGGTATTGAATTATTATTTTTTTCTTTTATGTGCACATGAATTGATATGTCTATTTTTATGTTAGGGCATGGTTACTATGGGAACAGTTCCAGAAGAAGGCCGAATTATTCCGTGAGAATGTTCTCTTGGTGCCACATGGAGATGACTTTCGATACAGCAACCTGAAAGAATGGGAACAGCAGTTTGGGAACCTCCAGAAGTTAATAGCTTACATAAACGGCAATCCTGAAATGAACACTGAGGTTATTCTCTTGTAGTCATGAAGTTCTTGTCACAGTATATTACTGTCATAGCAGAAAAAATGTTTTTAAAGAAAATTTGTCATTTCAGTTCTTTTTTATCCATGTATGCAATTAAATTATTAGTTCATTTTGAAAATAAAAATGGGTGAAAATTATAAATTTCACTTGGAAATTTTATGAAAAACTGCTCTATGCTTATTTTATTCTGCACGCAAAATAAGTCTTAACAATGGAGTATTGTGTCTTTATTGATAAA